AGCGGAAGACCCTAACTAGAGCAAAGCTCGTTGCAAAGCAACGAGTAGGTCTTCCGTCCTGTTTGAAGTAACTGTCATTTTTTTTAAAAATGAGTCATAACGCCCAAAAATGGTTTAAATACTCTAAATATATGTTAATTAATGCAAAAATAAGCCAGTTTTTGCTACTTCCGGTTTGACCGGAAGTGATGACGACGGACGGAAAATTAATTTTTATGCTCCCAGAGACATATGTTACCCAAAAACTTGTCAAAAACGGCAAAAATTCGTGTTTTCCGACTACTTCCGGTTTGGCCGGAAATGACGTCGACTGACGTATTTTGACAACTCTAATAGATTCAGCTTGACATTTTGAACAACTTTGCTTCTTTGACGTATTACAAATTCTCAATACTTTTTGAGATATAAAGGAAAAAGTTTTGGACCCTCTAGGCCCCTTATTTTAGGGGCCAGCCCTTTTCAAGAGATACCATTTGAAAGATCTTGAAATTCTACACTTCTTTCGTTCTATATATTTTAACAAAATATTTCCTGGTAAAAAGATATCGTAGAAAAAGTGTTAAAAATTTTGAAATTCGCGATAGGCCTATTTTCGGGCCAAAGCGCGCGCCGACGTGCAGCACTTCTGGTGAAAATGAAATACGTATGTCACATCTACATATATTGCTCTATCATTGCTGAAAAACTCACGTTTCTATCCTAAGCCGTTTCTGAGAAAACTCGCGGACAAACTGACCCTCTGAAAATCACTAAATCGCGGAAATCGCAAAACCGGAAGTGACGTCATCAAAACAAAAAATTATATATCAGCTTTGTTTGATGTTCTATCAGTCCTGAAAGTTTCATGAAAATCGAACCAGCTGTTTCCGAGAACTCGCGTGCACAAAATCGGTAAGAAAAAAAACAATAATAATAATAAAAATAGTGGAAAAGAAACCTAAGAATAACAAGAAGGTCTTCCGCTGAGAAATTTCTTTTCGCTTTCGAGCTTTGTAGTATAGAAAAATTTAGGGGCCAACCCTTTACATCCTTTAAGGAACTTTCTTGAAAATATTGAATAGTTTCAATATTTAGGATACTATTCTGAAAACCATTAATTCAATACTGCTTTATAAAATATTTCCCCTTTGGAGATATAAAGAATCCAACATTGAGCATTTTGGCCCCCTATGGCCCCTAAATAGGTCATATATGATAATAATTTTACAATGTATTGAAGCAGATTGTAATGATACACATTTTTGCTTCTGTAATTTATAACAAAAAAAATGATAGATAAAGAGTTATATCTGAAAGTTTTTTGGATCCTCTGTGCCCTTTATTTGAGGGGTCAGACCCTTATTCTTCATGTCAAATGAAAGAACATGTCATTTTGCACAACTTTTGTAATATATCTTTTAACAAATTTTGCGAGATATTTGCAAGCCTAGGCGAGCTTCAACTCCTTTTGCGCTGGAAAGATATAGACTCAAGAAAGCAATTCTGCAATCCTTCCTCTATAGTCACTGAAAATTTTAAGTCATATTGATTTGATTCGATTTTGTAAAAAAAAAAAAAAGGGGGGGGGGACAATAAGGTCTTCTGTTGGAAACGGAAGACCTAAATTCGGAAAAGTTCATAGTCTTTGTACTGTCTGAAAATTTAAATCTATTTATTCTATGAATTATTAATCAATATATTGTTTATTATTTAAAGATAGGTAATCACTTTTGGATCATTAAATTAACCTTTGCTTTTAAATGCATTAAGTTTGGTGTTATTAACAATTTTCTTGAGACTAAAAAGATAATTTCAGATATTCATCTACTTAACTTATTCTTGACTTATTACTCCATTGGAAGCAAATAGTTTCCACGCCACATTGCAAACACACTTTAATTTGGGCTACGTTCTCCTTCTGGACTCAACGAAAATCGACTACTGTTAACTTCTGCCAAGAGAATTTAACAAATATATTTGGAATCAGTTCCATGGGTCTTTGTGAAGAGGTGAACTGAACACAATTGTCATTAATGAAATAATACGAAAACAAAAATGAAAATGTAATGCAAAAGCGTGAAGGTAATGGCTATCAAGTGTAACGAAATCCAGGGGTTTAAAGGCCCAAGTGCTGGTATAATAGATAGGCATTTAATAATATGGTGTATGCCTATCTACAAGTCGTGTTCAGCTTGAACACCGTATTCTTACAACGAATTGTACTACTATAATGAACTCCTGTGAAGTATTGAATTAAAGACAGTACACACAACTTCTCCCAGGGCTTATATACATGGCTTTGAAAGAGTATCTAATTTAAAATACAGTCATCGTAAGAATGTTAAATAAAATACACAAAGAACAACCTAAGATGTAAAGAAAATTTCTTTTAATTTACAAATGAATCGGTAATTTTTAAGATAAAAAAAATTCTATATAAATAGAATTAATGTATAAAAAGTATTACAATTGTTTAAAAATAACTCATTACATTATTAACAGCAAAACATGGCCGAAGAAATCACTGTCTAGTTAGACTATGCCAGCAGGCATAATGGGCGATGCCTGTTATGCTCAAAGTATCCCATGTTTCCCACTATTGTTGATGTCCCTGCCATAATCTCCTAATTAGACAGTGATTCCTTATACATCTATTTTCATTTTTACTTGAAATAACAATCTTAAAATAAATCAAAATACTGTCTTAATTAGTAGATTTGAAATATTAATGCACGAGGCATTCCATGTTTTTTTCCATTGCCCCGCCCCATGACGGCAAATTTTACTATAAAAAATATAGTCCAAAAAAAAAACACGAAAAAAATTTACCCGGTAATTATTGTTTAGTTACTGTAGTCAAATATCAACATTTATGAAATACACAACAAAAGAATCTGAAATTGTGATCAAAGCAATCTTGTTAACGTAAATTATATATGTGTCCAAGATTTAGGTTGTCGGAAGCACAAAAACGTGTATACGCCCTGGGTCACTTCTCCGGCGCCATATTGAATGCAATGTTGTAGTTGATGAAACGGGAGTTGGTCAAGAAAACCGATTTGTGTGGATGTTAAAATAGCAGAGGAAGTTAAGATGCTTACGAATGTTAAAATAGCAGAGGAAGTTGAGTTGCTTACGAAGTCGGATGGTAATGACTGAGGGACGATGTCTGTATCAGATGATGGAGTGTGGCAGTGCTGATTTCACAACGTGCTCCAGTGAGGCTGTTTACGAAAGTGGAGTTTTTTGCCTCGCTGATAGTGGACAGCCTTACGCTAGCGACTTGCTTTTGATCCGAAGATTATTCATTATTTACTTTGTTTGTAAAAAAATATCTCACATTTAAACCAAACATCTATTTTTTCTTCGGTATATTTATACGCCCCTCATGCAGGTTGACATTTTGACCTTTCAGTAGTATTTCAATAGAGAAAGATACATACCACAGGCATAACCAAGAAATTAATAAGATGGACATTTGTAGTGTTTATATTAGAGAAAACAATTGGAAATGGAAATGTTGTGAAATGGTTAGTTTGGATATGGTTGGTTTATATATCGACATTACAAAAATCAAAAGCATATTTTCAGACAAATAATTCTTTGAGTAATCATACATCCAGTTTATATGAAAAGATTAAAAATGCTAGTTTGGGTTATTGAAACTTAGTATAGACAGAAATTACCTAAACATTATTTTGACCGCTCTTATAATATACATATATTGTGTGGAAATATTGTAAAAGTAAAGCACAATTGCTTGAAGAAAGTACATGTACAGGTAAAAGATGACAGAATTATTACAGAGCTTATAATTTCCAGACCTTGTTTGTATAGTGTGCTAAGATGGGAATCTTTTCATCGTAGAAAAAAAAAACATTAATTTCAATTGATGTATGAAATAATTAACGGTTCTGTAGTTAAGCATTTCCTTAAATTGATCAAACATTTTTTCAACATATGATTAAGTAATACCAAAATCAGGAATGTCTTAGATAGTCGTAAGAATGCAAATCATGATGATTTTCCAGATAAATAATACAGAGGCAAAAGTGATTAAAAATGGTAGTCTGAATCATTAATTAGTGCAAATTAAGTTGAGCAGTATGTGATCATATGAATGATTCCGAGATATAACTAAACGGAAAGGCCTAACGTTGAACCTGTCACTGTTCATGCTGTTTATCTACAACTTATATATTGCTGTTCCAAATTTTGTTTTTATATTTTCAGTCTTGTTGCAGTGAATTTGACAAAAATAAAATTGATTTTCAAAATTTTCTTATTGATAACAAACAAGATTGCATAAAAATATACACGGAATAATAAGGATCTGAGAGATTCACAATCATGGTATATAAAGGCGACATCACTGTACACGTACGTAGGTGATTTGCGTTCAAGATTGCAAAAAGACCTGGTTTCCCGCATTTACTGCGGATGAGCAGTTGTTGGGAACTAAGGAAGAGAAAATCTTACGATTGTTTTTCACTTACGACAATGTGTTGATCTTACGACCACATTCGTCAATAGTTCGTAACTTTTATCTTTGGATAATCGTAAATTCATGTCGTGGTTGTAAACGTACGTTTTTTTGTGAATAGATGTCCAGGATCTCAGGAGATGGAAAGTTCATCTTGATCTATAAATAAATAGGCCTTCATCTGTAGTTTACTGAGACTTTATCAATAAATTTCATATCGATGAATTAGTTTTAATAACAAATTATGACGCATTACAATTGAAAAAATACGAGGGTTGATCCAAAAGCAATGTCACAACTTTGATAAAATTGCTATAAATCGACGTAAAGCAACAAAATTATACAGTATGGAAGCTTTATTTATTTCAAATCAGACCTGAAAATTCAAAGGAGTATGATGTGTATACTTTTCAAAAAATCGGATTTTAAACAATGCGCGTTTATGGTAGTCGCCGCACCTATATATCACGTCATATGACGGATACACACTGTCATACTTTTAAGCGTTTCTCCTTCGTTTCATTAAAAAAATATTCCACTCTCTTTAAGAATTCTTGGTTCCATTATACACTTACTCTTTTCATAATTAAGCCCTCTGTCAAATTTTTTGAACAATAGCATAAGACAAACTTAAAAATTCACATGTCACTCTATACGTCTGTCTTTTTGACAGCGTCAGACACCATTGGACGTTTCCGTCCGATCTCCTACCTTTCGGTCTTCTTGTCCTCTGCTAATCATTCAGTGACCAATCACCTGCCCAAAATTGCTGAAACCATATATTAAAATGTATCTTATTTACATTATTTATTCAGTAGGTCTGATTGATTAACGAAAATGTCGCTAGTGATGATTCCCATATTTTGAAGCAAAAATGCATTACAACTTGTAGGGGCTTTTTTCTCCATTACGACAATCCCTTTGTTCAATTCAACAGAGTAAAGCAACAATGTTTATGATCACAAAATATCAATGCCGTTATTTAATTTTCAGTTAAAGTCTAGAAAATGACGAGAATTGTGTCTTTAAAAAAAAAAATGGGAGATTAGGTGCTTTTTTAAAAAATCTTTTTAATGTGTTTGTTTTTTTTTTTTCATTCTAAGAAAAAATACACTTTAAAACGTGACGTTCCGTTGTGACGCGGCGACACCCCCTATGCTCTATGTTTTAAACATCTATAAAATAAATTCAAATGAACATTATTTGATTAAAATCTCAATGTTAATTAGATTTATATTTGTGCATCTTTTGGTATATTGTATTTGATAATTTGACGCCAAATATAAGAGATATGGACACTGTGACATAACTTTTGGATCCACCCTCGTACGTCACAGTCAAGGTCAAAATGTAATTGACCTTGGAATCATATGAAAGAACTTAGTGGAGAATGCATACCAAATATAAAGTCTTTATCTCCTATAGTTCAAAAAATACGACGAAGGTACGAAAAAGATATTTATAGCATATACATGTACATCACAGTCAAGGTAACAAGGTCATTGACCTTGGTGTCATTTCAAAGATCTTAATCAGTGGAGTTTGCATAGAAATATCTCTCGTGGATCAAAAGTTATGGCGAAGGTAAAAGTTGACAAAAGACAAACAGATAAACAGACAGACAGGACAAAAATATCCTGAAATTTAACAATTTCTAATGAGCAGTTGTAAGACGTATGACTAGTATTTTTTTTTTTCATAAAAAATTGTCAATCAAATTTTGAAGCTTTGGAACTTTCTTCATAATTCTATCTGATTTGTGGAATTTTAACAAAACTTCTGGACTACATCTTGTAGCTTTTGCATATTGAAATATTTGTTAGTGCACATAATAATGCATGGCGTTTCCATCATTTTCTTTCCAGATTCCAAAGACAATTGTTAACAGAAATATATCCGACTCAAAAAAAATTATTTTCACAGTAAAAGATCAAATAAACAGAAAACAGAGGCGTAACTGTACAGATAGATTTTCATAAACAGCACGCCATTTCCTATACATAAAACACAAGGGGGTGTTATTAATGCATATCTGTCGAATAGTTTATCCTTTCTATGTATCTATACACAGACACTATGTCAGTACATTCTGAAGATCCACGCCCAACATAAAGAAGATGAGTTTTGTGATCATAGGCCAGGCCATACAGCTCGTGTATACTCCCTGGTTTGGTCAACAGGAGTGACAAGAAGTGACCATCCTTGTCAATCATCTGGACAGTGTCAGTGAGGGTATCGACCACCAGGATGTGTGACAGGGCGTCTGTACAGATTCCTTCAGGTTGTAGTCCTGATTGCAGTCCCGATCCTGATGGAGGCCCCGTGTAAGAGAAACGATGTTTGCCTCTAGAGTCAACCACCACTACAGCTCTGAGATCATAGTCTGACACAATGATATCTCCATTGCAATTTTTTGTGAGGTACTTCGGATCTCCAAATAAAATTTCACCTTTGTGGTCGATTCGGATAGTTTGGAGTTCTACTTCCCCACTGCTGTCATACCGCTTTACCATGCCTGTATATGTATTGTAATTATACATCCTCATCCCAATAAGTAGTTCTCGAGAGGACACACAGTAGTGGAGACTGACAGGTCTCAATGAATCTGTTATTCTCATTAACATGACCATTGATCGGCTTTCTGTTTGAATTTTGACATCTCCGCTGATGTCAACATACAGAAGATCCCCAGCACTTGATACTGTGTGCACACCTCCAAAAGCAGCTTTGTCTGTCACTTCCTGAAGAGTTTCACCCGAGGTGTCTGTCAAGATGAGATTGTTCCAATCACTGACCCAGAATTTATCTGGTGCCACAATAGAAACATGACGACCATAACTGATATCTTTGACTTTCACCGACCTCTTTAACACAGGTTTCGACATTATTTTCAGTAGCTGTTCATCTAATATTTCTCTTTTTGTGATTTCACTTTGGGTTTCTTTTAATAACAGACTCACATCAGCTTTGTTTAAATTATCACTTATTGACAAAATAGGCATTTGCTTTACCTGTACAGTTGCTTTGGTATTTTTGATGAAATTTTTCTTGTAGAATAAAAGAAATTGTATAGGTCTGATCAATAAATGCTCAGATCTGTGTTCACAGTATTCAGATTTAGCAAGAAATGTATTTTGTTTGAACTTCTGATGTTGTAGTGTTTGAACCAAAAGCAGGCTGCATTTTGTTATATCATTTAACAAGACAGTATCAGTTAAATCCTTTAACCTTGTAGCTTTTAAAGGCATTGCTGACTGAATACCTGAAAGTGTTCTACTGCATGTTTTCATGTGATTCTGAATCCCGGATAAAACACTATAGTTTCTATACAGAACCTCACTTCTGATTTTGTGAATTGTTTCTTTGTATTGCTGTCTGGTTATTCTATAAGCAGCTTTAAGATCCATTTTTTCATGATTTCTATGTTCTATACACAGATTACAGACAAGAAGTTCACAAGACTGACAGTACATTTCATATATCATATCTGGATGTCTGTCACAAGTCTCTGCTTTTTGAACGACTTCACATTTCTCTCTATAAATCACAACATCATGGTACAAAGTGTCTAGATCACTGTTGTGTCTCTCTTTACACTGTGGACATAGGTTACTTTTACATGTCTTGCAGTAGTATTCTGTGTCTCCATAACAGTTGGAACACATCTTTATCATACACTGTTTGTTGAAATCTTCCATAGCAACCGTGTTGCAACTTAAAAGTCTTTGTTTTGGGGCCAAAAACCTGTTTAAAATACAATTTTTTTTTATATTTAACAATTAATGATGGCTTTCATATTTCACATTTTACCTGTGACAGAACTTTTCCAAAATATACTATAATTTTTTACCCTTTTACCTTGACCTTGAAGTTTGACATTTTTTTTGAAAATTAATAAATTACTCAAATTGGTAATTACTTTTGAAAGAGAAAATATTTGGCTTTCATTTTACACATGTATATATCACCTGTGAAAAGACCTTTCTAAATATACTATGATTTTTGATCTGTGACATTGACCTTCAAGTTTATTTGACCTATTTTCTAAAATTGTTATCTTTCCTTAAACATTTTCATTGAGAAAAGGTATTTAACATGTGCATTACCTCAGAAAAGATGTTTCTGAAAATGCAATGGGTTTTTTTTACCTCTTCAATTGACCTTCATGTTTGACCTTATTTTCAAAAATTTAAACTTTGTTGATTACTTTTCAATGACAAATGAACGGGCTTGTACATTTGACACAATATGCCAGAAATACATGTAATAGCATCCTAAGACATCAAAAGTAGGGGAACACAATTCTTTGAATTTGCTCGTAAAATACACTGTATGTAAGGAGATAACGAACAGAATTCAAGCTTTTATTCATTCTACAGTAAGATTTTTTAGTTTAGTATGGTCTGTATGGACACTAATTTTTCAATAACACTTCATTTATTAAATAACTAAAACAGGGATTGAAAGTTAAATATGTCTTTAACAATATTTTCCTTTGTTAAAAATGTGAACATTCCAACTTTACAAACATGATACAATATTGACCATAAACACTTATATACTGATAGAAGAACTTGAATATTTTTTTTATTGATTGATGGTCTTGCTATTTCTTAGAATGGTACACACATTACACTTTCAACCCCTTATATACTTTATCTTTATTATTAGGTGTTATTAAGAAAAACACTAGTGTCGGCACTCAGTTGACTACTTTAACCATGTTGCTGTTGTGTTGAAGTCAAGGGAACAATAAATGTTGTCTTTTACTAAAAAATGGGTCTTATTTAATTAATTTGTGGCACAAAACACCACGCTGTCATGAATATGAGACAAGTCAACATGGAACTAACACAATTTTTACATGTACACAGCCTTTGTTTTCTCTGATAATTTAAATTTTCTGATTTCTAAGGATTCTTAAAAAATAAAATGTAATTGAGTAAATTTAAGCTAGTCAATCTGAGATCTCTAAATTCACTTTTGGTTTTAAATGCACTCAATTTTATGTGTATAATTAGTCATTTTCTTGAGTTTAAGAAGACAATGTCCATCATTCACTTACTTGACAAATTCGTTGTGAAACCTTAGTGTAGCATGTGTAGAGTTGCCACCACCACTCACCAGCTGCAGATTTTTTTTTTTTTTTTTGGACTTCAGGTACATTCTTCTACTAAATGTAGGCCCAATGAAGGATTTTGAGACATATGTCCTTTTTGAATTATTATTAGCACACTTAAGAGACCTTTTCAGGATTGGCTCCCTTGCTGGAAATCCTAGCTAAAACACTGTGAGATACCAAAAAAATTATAAAAACTCAACAAAGGAAAGGTTATGAAGAAAGACTGTCATATTAATAGCTTTTTTTTTTTCAAAGTTCATTTTCTTAAGATTTTATAGAAATAAAATTTTACATCCTATGTCTATCAAACATGAGCCAAACACAATGAACAGGGTAAAACATCATGTTAATATGGGAGTACATGAATTTACATGTATCTTGTTTGATTTTTGCAACTTTACATGTTTGTCGAAGATTTTAAAATAGCCATTGTTAGTATACGTGCGCAAAAATGTTCAAGTATTTTGGATTATACACTATTTGTTACCTCAGTATAGGAGGCTTTATGCACAATGGTTATGTCATTGATCAGTCATCAGTATGTGTTTTTCATGAAGCAATACCCGGAAGCCGTCATATACATCTTCAAATGACGTCCATTAATGCAGAAAACAGCAATGCATGTACAGTTCTTTTGACTGGAATGAATCTGTAAACAAGGAATATCTAATCACATAATGTAAATTTATACATGTTTTAAGAAAAATATCAAGTACATATCAATTGAAATGATTATGGATGTGAATCTATCAATGTTTTTGACCATGTTGATATATATTTCTTCTCAGTTCACATTTCAGTCACAAATATTTAAGATGATTTGAAGTTCACAAAGGAACTTCAAAAGATTACCCTCTCCCTATGTATCACCTTTTCAAGTAAAAGAACAAACATATCCTTTTACATGTGTTTTAGCTTCAGATTGTTTTCACCTTTTCTTCTCAGAGGACAACCTAACAAATCCTGCTTTCATCTTATACTCTTGACAGAAGTGGACGGCCTGATGTAGGCGAATCTCTACAAAGAGACAGAGAGAATAATTACATACTTTCATCTGTTCATTTGATTGCTATTGCTAACTACACGTACGAGCCTATGTGCATGATTAAATAATATGTATATCTTCTTTTTTAACTTTAAATGGGTGTAGCGACGCATTTGTTAAGAAAAATTTACAACTTACAAATTCCCTTAATTTCTCACAACGTTCACGCTAGCTTTTCCTGGTTGTTTTGTTTGTTTACATCGTGAAAATATTTTATATTCCGAGCCCGACACAAATTAAAGATGTCTTAATTCGAGAGACTGTATAAATTTATTTAACATAATACAGCGCCATAACACCACTCAACTATTCAATATAATCGCTTTCAACATCATTTTAAATATTAAACAAAAAAATCATATTAAATGAAACTGTACACGATTTACTGAAATACATGCACATGCATGTACAATGTACATGTTATATACTACTTGATACACTGTGATTGAAATAGCGAAAATATCATTCTAGATATCTGAGTGAAACATGCAACAAACGAAACTATATCTCAATATGTATTTTTTTTATTATTATTATTTAATATTTTTTTTAAAACATTTAATATACAATAATCTGCCATAAGATATTTTATTTAAATACTTAAAAATATACAGGCTCATACTACAGTGTACATGTACTTTATGAATAGGCCTAATGTAGATTCATGCATGTTAAGCGATTAGCGGATAAAGTGATTTAATTAATCTATTTTGAAAAAAAAATTAAAAGGCTGGATATTGCTCTTCATTACGTAAATATGACTAATCTTTATCAGTTCACTTATACATAATTATTTATTATACTCATAATGTTGAAAGCACTTAGAAGCACTTATTGAATGAACACCCCCCCACCCCCCTAAAAAAAAATATGAAGATTCGTGAAGTAAGGCCCATTATTCATTTAATGTGTTACACATGTGGTAGAGAGAAGAGAGGTGGTTACAAAGTTGCCAAATTCATCTGTCTGGATATTTTCAAATCGAATTTCAGTTAAAAAAAAAATAATTAAGTAACTTAAATGAGAAAGAAAACTGTTAAGCTATTGTAAATCGGCTGGAACGACTGCACTGAAGTGAATGTTTCCGCAAGTTCGGGAAATACAATCTGTTCATACATATAGTTTATACAGTTAATTTTCTGGACCGTACTGTATATTCATCACTTACAACATGTGCCTGTGAAATAGGTAAGTGTACAAAGTTCTCATATATATCATTTATATTCCAAGTTTATTATAAACTGGGAAAATACTTATAATTGATGTGTGAAACGTGACTAATTATTTCAGAAATATGTATTCTTATTTAAGATTCTGGAACATTTGGATTTCAAATGTTCAAATTGTGTTAATGGATGGCCACTTATAAATGTAGATACACATGTATATGTACCATATATATACGTATGATAATCCGCTAGTATTTGCTTTACAGGTCTGTACAAAAGTTGATTATAAGAGAAAAACATGTCACACGAAGAGACATCGGATTTTGTTGGTGACATACAGCTTCTGACAGCAGAAGATGAAGAGCGTGAAAAATGCCAATTTCATACCGGGCAGTCATTTACAGCAAGCTGTAGCCAATGTGATCAGTTAGTATGTCTGAAATGCATAGTATCAACTCACAAAGGTCACACATTTGAAGATCTTGGCGATCTGATTGAAGTCTCTAATAAAATGATTGTGAAAATCAAAGCCGAAAACATAGAAAAAAGAATGGCGGTTTTGATGAAAGAAAGCGAAAGCGCAGAGAAGGGAGTAAAAAAGATACAGGGACTAAACAACCTTACCGAGGCCGAAATTCAAGGCGAATATTTGAGCTGTATGGAGAGGATTGACAAGGATAGGGACCAGCTTATAATGACGCTGGAAGCAGATTTGAAAAGAGCAGAAGAAAGACAAAAGAAGGTTTTAGAGAAATTATCAGGTGTACGGAAAGACTTGCAGACTACTGAAAATGTGCAAAAGGATGGAAATACCGTTCAAATTATTCAGTTATGCAGAAAACTGCAAAGCAAGTACGAGGAAAATGTCCAAGGGCCATTGGAAGAAAATAAAGTAATTGCTAGAAAATCGAAATTCCTTGCACATGACAAACATTCCAATGTTCTTGGAGAATGCCCTATTGTCCCTGAATTCGAACTCTACGGCGTTTATCAGATAAGTTTGGCGACGATTTCGACCTTAAAGAACCTCCTAGAGGACGAAACATGGGTGGCAGGAGTTCAGTCCCCCTTAACACTTAGACTTCACGTCCCACACAGCAAAAACAAGAGCGCAATAAAATATAAAGTTAACAAGGGATTTGTGTACAGCCTTGCCTTCACGAAAGAAAACACAGTTGTCTTGATGACGTTTGTTAGTATTCACGAAATACGTGCGTATGATTTGCAACACGTCGATGACAAGGGTGTCGTGTTTGTCGATACAAGAAAACTTTTTCCCTTGGGTCTGGAAGTATCCCAGAACGGCGACGTTTACGCATGCGCAAGTGAACGCTACTCCAAAGACATGTCTGCTAATACGGAAAGAGGCATTCTTCGAATTTCAAAAACAGGCCAAGTTTTGAACTTTTTCCAGTTCGAAGAGGTCGTAGGAAACTTCATATTCCATTATCCATCATGTCTGACAGAAAATATTGATGGAAGCCTGTGTGTCATTGATCGACACAGCCATTTTTCAGGTCGTGTTGTGGCACTTAACACGTTTGGGAAGAAGATTTTTACTTACGAGCGCCCACCTTCTGTCTCAGCCAAAGAAGAAATGGATCTAAAATACATAACACGCGACAAATTCGGAAACCTCTTAATCTCCGACTGCATCAATAATCGTGTTCACCTGATTTCTAAGTCTGGGATGTTTATTTCATTGATTCTCTGTCCAGATGAAGAAATATCTGTTCAACGTCCTGAGGCACTTCACGTGGATAAGTTTGATAATTTATGGATTGGATGTCGATCCCAAAATCCCAACACCTTAACTTGCCAGGTCATGAAAATAAGAATGAACTATTAATGACAGATTTTCTTCAGTAGAATATGTACGAAAGAAAGCATTAAAATGAAGAAAACACAATATTCTGAGTTTACTGTGAATAAAACTAGAGAATAAATAAATAGCACATCATTCCCATATTGCTTTGCAATATTTCATTATTGAGAAGGTTCATTTAAAGGCTGATTGCCCCCCACCCCCACCCCCACACTTTTTGTTACAGTAAGGTGACTAAGGTCAAATAAGGGAAAAAATGATACTGAAAGATGACTCCCACCCCCTACCCCCTAAATAGGATTTTGGAGTTTGGACAATATCCTTTTTTGTCAAGTTTTTTTTTTTTTTTTGAAATTTTTTCTCTGCCCCTTTCAAAAACGGTGCGACGTCACGGCAGGAAAAAAACGTGGAAAAATCAAAAGGTTTGAGATTTAAAATGCAATCTATCATCAATATTATCCAGCATGTTAAAAGTGCCCAAGGCCAGCCAGGTGGCGCATGCAGTGTTAATATATTCCTGTAAAGGATCAGCTAGCGATATTAAGTGATGTCTTGCTTGCTCTGCATTCCTTAAATTGTCAATAGTTTTAAGCAACACATGCATATTTGCAACTTTGTGTTTAAAAGGAAAACAGGGAATCATCCATAGCATCTCTATCATGATCAAAGAAATTCATAAAGACGCATGGCAGTTGATAAATAATTTGTGTTTATCTCTGCATGCGATATTCTTTATTTTGGTAAATTTCATTACTTATTTTTTAAGGTGGCATATTTGGGTATGACTTGAATTTGGACTTTATTTGATATTAATTGAATCAACTATACTAGTATATTTTTTGATTATGATCGATAGGGTTATTTTCTCTTTGGTACACCCAGGGACCTTTATAGGTCCCTGGTACACTGAATACCTGGTATTTCAATGAATCTGCATGTATATTTTAAGTGCAAGCGACACCCTGTGCTAAAAGTTAAATATGAATCTAGACTAACTCCTCACAGTAAAAATAAAATTGATACAATCCATTTTCATTAGAAAAATTAAAAAGTAAAATCTTGAAACTGCAAGATTTTTTAAAGCCGACTTGCACTATTTTTTACTAACTCGTTAAAACAGGACATTCTTTATAAGAAGATAACTACTTAATTAAACATGTTAAACTCGTTTTATAAATGTAATGTGAGCAAAGTATATTTTTATTTATCGTCACAAAATTTTCAAGAAGCATTAAAATAAAATTGAAGAGCTTCCGGGAGTACACGGCTTTGGGACGCCAATCAAGAGGAAAATTAACCATTTCTTGTTCCTTTTTTGTGGAATAAAAAGCAAATTATACCCGTACAACAAAAATTAAATTCTTGTCTTCTGAATCGTACATTGTAGACCCAATCTATTTTATATAAAAACAACAACAAAAAAGTTTAAACTTTGTATCAATTTCTTCCGAGTCTTTGCGAGGTAAGCCCCCCCCCCCCCCCCCCCCCCCCCCCGCCCCGTGCTTCAGAACTATAGCATTAAAGTTTTATACGATGATTTATTTTATATGTATTAGAAGGTTTTGAAATAGTCAGGGATAAAAAAAAAATTTTCCTTTTCAATGTTACTTAATTTTATGTTGGTATATGGACAGTAATTACTATATATACCTCCTGTGCAATGAAAGAAATCATTAGAAAGCCATTTTTGAGACAGTAACCTCCGTAATCCGATTTTTATAACTACAGTTTTTTTTTATATCGGCTAACAATTTATCTTAATTGTCAATTTAGCACTCAATATGGCCTCACGCGTATACATCAAGCAGGTCAATATTCACCTCAAGGTGTCAAAAAGAAATGAAGGAAAAATTATAAAGAAGGGAATATTTACACCTCACTGTTATGTAAGTAATTTTACAAATTTAAAGTATATGCATTAATTATATTATTATATTATTTCCTATATTACATGTACAAATCATATTTGATACCATAATTTTAAATTATAATCAGGAAAGGTGTGGGCGGAATGAGAATATAAAATTGATGTGTTATCTTATGGAAAAATATTAATATACTTATATATTTTTATTTAAATATATATGTATGATAAATATATTTAAATATACATGTATGAACTCTACTTCAGAATTTAACAGGATACAATTGCCAATAAGAATGAAATTTTCCGCTTTTGTTGTCTTAAAAACAAAATCAAAACTGCGTGGAAATAATTTTGATTTTTTTATTACTTTTTTATCTAACTATTTCACCTTATATATTTGTACAAAATGAGTGAAATTAAATTTGAACTTATCATTTTTTTTTTTGAAGTGGCTTTTCCTTTTGAATTTTACTTATCAATTTCATTTTTTTTTTATTTTACAAGTACTCAAATAATTTGTGTTTGTTTAACTTTGTTATTCTAATGCGTGTATAATTTTTTATTGACTATGTTGCAGATACTAGTAAACAAAAAATCAGGTCATTGTTAACATGACGTCACAAACGTTCCAGTTTTTGTGTCTGAGCCTATTAATCACGTGGACAAATGGTCAAGGTGCGGATCCGTCGGCTGTTAAAGAGTGTACAGGTAGGTTTTGAGATTCGAATCTACCTGTAAACATTACCTCAGTCTTTTAAACAAAAACTTAATTAAAAAATCATGACCATTCAATATTTTTTACATGACATTCCTATTTTCAAGTTGAATTTCATTTTTTTTTTCATGCATACATATATACAATGTTCATAATGTAGACCTGTTGATTTCAAATAGATAATATAAGGTAACCATAGTGTTTAGTTACAATGTCAGTACGCGATGTAATTCTTGATCAGAATAAGATTAAAAATAATTAAATACTGTAATCGACACCTTTTATAACAGAACAAGGGAAATGTTACTGGAAGGGTGAGTGTAAATCCCCGGGGCGGGGGCGGATCTGGCAGGATGTGGAGGAGTGTGCCGACATGTGGTGCCACGCCTACCAGTTCAGCAAGTACATCGCCATCAGAGTGGACAGGTTTTATGGTAAGTATCTTAGCCGGCGTCGGAAGGAAATTGAAAGTAGAGGTGAGGTGGAAGGTAATGGAAAGGGGGGGGGGGGGTAAACCTGATCCCCAAAACATTTGTTGACTATGGCCCAATTTTCAATGCCATATTGACTATTTTTGCAAAAATTGGATGTTTACGCCCCCCCCCCCCCCCCAGCCCACCGTTTCCGACGCCTGTAAGTATGATTGAATGTTTCTTGCAATATGTAATTATTTATAAAGCTAACATAAATGTTTTTTATGCAAAATACTTACAGTATATGGGATTACCATGAATGATATTCTTTTAAGGGTGTCGATACAAAGACCAGTGTAGAAAGAAGGATGAGGAGTGGGAGGAAGAGGGGTGTGTCAAGCGGAAGTGTATAATTGAGGGACCACGTGGGTACACCAGGACTATCAGCGTATCAGAACTAGGTATGTTAAACAGACTAATGTCATATTGGAGGGTATCTGAGGAAGGTACATGTATTTTAAAACAGATTTATGTAATATCGGAGGAAATCTGAGCTAGGTATTTTAAACAGATTTATGTCATATTGGAGGACCATGTCGCATGTGGGTAAGCTGAACTATTAGCGTATCAGAGCTTGGTATGTACAATGTGGGAACATAAATAATTTATGTCAATGAATGAATAACATAATTTCCCTAAAAGAAAACATGACTCCAATTTCAGGTTGTACCGATTCTAAGGGGGTGTGTCACTTTCCCGGAAGTGCGTGGGAGGAAAACTGCGTCCAATATCAGTGCGTCAACACAAGGAATGGAACTTCCATTAAGGCGACACAAAATATAATCTGGAAAGGTAGGTGAAGTATATTAGAACTCTCAATTTGATTTGATTACGTCTGATGGAGTTAGACAGATATACAGTTAATATTAGAAGTTTTAACAGAACGTTCAGCACCCATTTTTATCATACAATATTGTTAATTTGAAGACCTAATTTTATCGTATAATTGGCGAAACTTATATTCCTGTAGCAAGACCAAAAAATCAACTCTAGAAACTTTCAAAGAGTTATCACAGAGAAAACAAATAGTCATGGAAAAGAAAAACACAAAAGAAACAAATTCGAACAGCCTTTTCTTGTGCATTCAACCTCATTGCCTGTCCTCGTAATTTCTGCTCGTCCATAATTATTGTAAATATGTATATATGTACCTCTTGTACCATGTATATGTTTTCTTTTTTGAGAGAGAGAATAGCCTATATAATTAATCTTCAATTTTATAATTAAAGGACTGCTAAACATACACATAATGAACTCTCATTGAATGGCAACTACAACCTTTCAGTAAAATTTCAGTCACATGTAAGTCAATTAAATGGCAGAGATTTCTGTGCTACATATTATATGTCCATCCTTAATATACGTGTAAATATTTCTATATATGTAAACTCTGTGTGATAATGTACCATTCCATAAGTATAAAATGTTTTCTTGTTTAGAGAGCATTAAAGAAAATAACTATCTGTATTTGACGCTAAATGACCTAAAAATGAAATGTCTACATAATAATGTACATTTAAAAAATCGAAGTGACTTAAAATTTTATAATTAAAGGAGAGACTTATTATTAAAATATCAAATTAGCTAAACTAAATACCCTTACATGGTACGTGTTTAGAGGAATTGAAGTGGTCAAAGACCACTGACAATAAGTGTATCACCAAACGCTGTGTGATAGACCAGAGCGATAAAATTTCAGTGGACACGATGTAAGTTTTTATCAATTATATGTATGATGTACAGTGATAAATGAATCCTAGTTATTATACGTGTGCTACAGTGGTAAATGAACATAGTATTGAAAAAAAAAAAAAATACATTCAGATAGATTGTGTTTAATGCATTTTTCTTATGGCAACAATGGAGCAACTGAAGTAAAATCAAACACATAGATCTACATCATCTTTTTTAATTTTGATTTTTTTACTCAAAAATGGATATTTTTTAATATTGAATCATCAATGAATTTAAATATGTAATTTACATAAATTCCATGTGTAATTATTGGATCTTAGGTTCAAGAAAAATTATTATGCTTAAAAATTTAGATAACACCTGAAAAATTCTGATTATTTACAATGTAAAAATCACGCATTTTTTTTTCAATTGAAATCGCTAGAACTTCATAAACATAAAATTCTTGATGTTTTTACTTAAAAATTGAATCTGACAAAGCTATTTATATTTGCAATAAATTAAAATTATTTATAATTTTAAGGGCGATAACTTTAAACAACAGGAGATACTGTTTCACAGTTCACAATTTGATCATTCCATCATATGTTTCGAATTTATAGATTGGTTATTATTATTATTTTAAATAACTATCTGTTCATTAAGAGTTAATCGCATCAACAATATTATTATCACTTATAATTCTTTGTTCCTCTTTTCTGCAAAGAAAATAAAGAAGTTAAAAATTCTGCGAAATGAAAGCTGAGCATATCATCTTTGAGCAAACTGAAAACAATTCTCATTTAACCTTGGACTTCCAGTAAGGTGTGGCGTTCTCGACGTTACATATTACCCTTTGAAATTTACAAAGCTTTCATTCACTGTTGAAATAACATTCCGGTTGAATGTCAACGACTGTACCTTCCAGTGTACCAATGATCCTATGATAACGTTCCGCACGGCGGAGAGGTGGGTCGTCTAATCGTTGTAAACAATTTAAATTTGTTGATGTTCTTAATTTCTTAACCAATGAAAATCTATTCGCCATTTGAGAGACGTTAATAAGATAGTGTGTCCAGAAAGTCACGCCCTACTGAAAGTCCAAGGATAACTGAGAATCGTACTAGAAGTATCTTTTTTTCTAGAAGTAAAATGGAATATGCCGTAATGAGACGGAGACTGGGTGGCCATTGTATGTCCAGGGCACTCTCCATAACAACTGTCATTGTAGAGAGAGAGAGAGAGAGAGAGAGAGAGAGAAGGGATGTTCTGGTTAGCTAGATGTTGGAGTAAAAGGGTTTTGTTAAAAAACTATTAAATCTATAGAAAGCCTCAACTTATAGTATAGTATGCTTCTTTGAAGAATGTAAATAAATTGTTATACACGTAGTTTGTCGGTTCATTCATCATATAAACTATATTCTGTGGTAAAAATATATGATATACAATAAATGTAAAACCAAGCAGATGAAATGAAAAGATAAACTAGTAATCATGAAAATGATTAAATCTTGTAATTAAATATAAAGAAATTTATCTTTAAAAGTCTTCTTTTCTCTCTGACACTAATATTTAAGTATCAGTCACATTTTGTAAATATCGTGATTACGTAAAATCGAACTAGAGGTACTGTGAGCAATGAGCTCACTAAATGATACCCCCGCCTCCCATATGGTTATAGCTGATGAAAAAGTCCATGATTTGCTGTGGCGGGGAAACCCAAAATATGTGTCGGATAAAAAAGTAAAATAGGAGGTACACAATGGCAATATGTAATAAAGATTCTGTGAAAGTTTCATTAAATTTCAATCAGTGATGTAAGAGGAGTTGCGGATAAGACATGGGTACCCTAAAGCGTAACGGACAGACGGACGGACGGACATACCGATATAGTATACTCTCCCACTTTTCAAGCAGGGGGTATAATAAAGTATGGTAACATTCCCTATGAGTTTACAAGCCAATTTCATCGGAAGAGCATTTTAAATCTGCTCAGGAGAGCTAAAAAAGCAACCAACATAGAAAAACCAAATGAACAAATGATTGTTTTTCTTCACTCTATACGCACCTTATGCGCCAACTTGAGTTTTATACCATCTATTTTTCTCAGCGAAACGGAATATATACAGCAAGCTTTTACCTTAAATGATCGATTACATCGTTGAAAATATTTTTGCTGAAATGTATACAAAATTTTGATATGAAATACCATTTCATAATAATTATCAAGAATATTATACGCCACAGACTGCGGTTTAATCACAAGGTGTTAATGAGAGTGATAATTGTCTTATTCTTGTTTTATTGTGAAAAATTATTCAGTTATGTCTATTCAGAAGTTTATTCAGAAGTACTAATATAAAAACATAAAAAAGTCAATGTGTTTTTCATTAGAAAAATAATCTTTACCATATGGAGAACTGGAATTGGATTCTCATATGAACTATTCAACCCAGATTTTACTTTCACTTTCCTTTTTAATCTAAAGTCGGGCGGATGAATTTCGTCAAAATTGTGTTTGCCTTGTCCGGTGTAGTTCTTTTTATAGTTCTCATAGCATGCGCCTGTCGATGCTGGAAAAGGACAGTCAAAGAGGATAGGAGATATGAGAGGGAGAATTTACAACACATGATTGTAATTCTGACACTACCAAAGGTTAGAGTCTTTATTGTTTGTTTGTTTGTTTGTCTGTTTGTTTGTGTTTAATCTTCCTCTCTAAAGTTTTTCCCTCGTATGGAGACACCACCACATGCCATTCTTGGAGCTTTTGTCGCAAAAGATGCCGGCACGAAAAAGATCCCTTCCTGCTCAATGGTCCTGAGTGCCGAGTATAGGACAAAATTTGCAGCTCTCCACCTGCAAATAGCGGCGTCTCCATATGAGTTAAAAATTCTCGAGAGGGACGTTAAACAATATACAATCAATCAATTTTAAGATCATGCGTATACGTTGAACTCCACTGTATATGATGTTGTACTATACAATAATTATAATAATTCTTCAAGACATTGTGATTTAAGCACTGCTAATTTAACGAAATTGGATCCAGATGTTTGTATCTCTATCATAATTCTACACGAAATAACTTGAACTATTTCCAAATTGAATAAAAAGAATAGAAGACATAAGTAAACAGATTTTTGAAACCGATTTGTTGTAAAATCATAGTTTTTACTGTTGCTCTTCATTAAGAGTAGATACAAATATAATCGTGGAACTTTAAATCGCTTTTGAATACAATTAGGAATTGCGTTTGAATACGTGGGTAATTCAAAATGTTCGTAGACTTTTGTCCTACCTTTTTAATTTAACGTCAAATCATATCCAAATTTAGTGCACATATTTTAACAACAAATAATCTGAGTAAATAAAATGGATTATATCTTCATATTTATAAAAATTATCAAAGATTTAGAACAGCGAAAATGGGGTCACGGAGCAACGTCAAAATTAAATAAGTTACTAATTTTCACTTTATAGTATGTATAGACAATTTCCTAACAACAAAAGAATATATGCATGGCCAAGGGTGACTGATTATATGTATGGTGTCCATATGTACTTTTAAAATTTATAAAACCTTTTTAATTTGGTACACTATAATTTTCTGTCGATATTCATGTTAGCAAAATAGTATCTTGAAATGAACATCATTTTTTTAAATAAGCTTTGAGGGAACCTATGATTGAACTATTGATTTGCACTTCATTCCTGTTAATTCTAAAAGAGAACAAATGTCAATAACGGTTAGTTTTTCAAAGATTACAGGTGGATATTAATAACATAAACTGACCTTTATATAAAACTTGGTGGTAGTTAGCACGTTTACAATTGTTTAATTCACTACTGGCATCTGATAAAATGACTTTTTTTTTTTTTTTTTTACAATTGTGCAATTGAGATTTGATCCTGGATAATATTCATGAATAAAAACTTATTTTTGACGCTATAATATTTTTTATTTTTTTTTTATTTTATTTTTTTTTGCAGTGGTCCAAACAACGGTTTGAATTTTAGATGTATGGCAATGTTGGATGAGTTACTTCAATGTATAAGGATTCCAATTATACACAATTACTCGCCGTAATTTTGTTGATATACAACGATAGTGAATTGATATTGAAAACAACGAAATAAGTAACAACTAGCCTTTGATTAATACTTATCGTAGTAATTTGCACAATGCCTTCAATATTTATGTATAAACACGTACAGTTCTTGTACAGAATTTTAAAATGATTAGATATTATTTCAAGGTATGGGTCTTCAAGGCTTTTACAAGTACAATTCTCAGTTAACCTTGGACTTAAAAATGTCAGCAAGGCGTGGCATTCTCGGTGCTACGTAATTAGTGTCTGTCACATGGCGAATAGATTCTCAATGGTTAAGAAATAAGTAACATCTGATTCAGCAACTTTGATTTGTTTTTGACAACGATGAGAAACCCAACCTCTGTGCCGTACAAAACCTTGTTATTAGTTCTTTGCTACTCTCGAACATGGCAACCTATCACACGTATACAAGTGACAGTGAATGAAAGGCTGTGTAAATTTCAGAAGCAAGTTATGCGACGTCGAGAATACCACAACTTACTGAAAGTCCAACGTGTACCGAGAATTGTAGTCTACAGGTTACGAAAAACGTATCCTATCTTTGAAAAACTTTGATTTAAAATTCGCTATTGTGTTTATTGTACATTTACAAAAAGAGTTTTTATGGTTGATGATATGTGATGAACAATGCAAATAAATGTTTTTTTTTTCAAGGATTCTTCCTAAAACAAGATTAATCAACCTGTTTTCCTTGAAAGGCAATCCCCTCCCAATAAACAAACAAACAAAAACAAAAATATTTTTCAAATCTTTCGGAACAAAGTGCACAGATAAATCAATGTTCAGGATTCGTCATTTTGAAATTAATCAACAATTATCAATTTTTTTCGACTTCGGTAAAACATGACTTTGTTTTTCAAAGATAATCAATCAGACAAATATTTGCAAGAAACAGAAAATTGCAAAACATGCGGATGTTTCTTGCAA